AAACCAAAACATCATCACCATCAGCAGCAGCGGCAGGGAAACTCTTGTTATAACTTCAATAACAATCCTCCCGATAGAATAAGAACTTCTATTTCTATCGGTATTAGTACTCACATGAATCATGATCATTTCGGTACTAAACAGATTGGTTGGTATTTCAAGGTCATATGGTGCAATCTGACGCTTAGCATCCCCATATGCAACACATTTGTGATCAGTTCTTGTCATTTCGGAAATTTTTCAGGGTTTTTCGAATTAACTAGCTATCATTCATTAGGGAAAACAGAGGGATAACTGATCTGACTATGCTCTCTTGTCATCAGCGTTCGTATGTACTAACCGTGTTCGGTGGTCGTTCGTCGGAGAAAAAGTTGCTCAAAGATATCGTGTGCTACCGCGTTCGGGAGACCGGTTTGGGCGCGTCGGAGACTGATCGGTCCAAATGCGAAATTGAACTGAAACTGATCGGTTTGAATAACACTCGACCGTTGCCAAACGTGCGCAAAGGGTTTGGAGCGGCCAGTATCTGGAATCAAGCGTTTCTGATTGGCGGACAACCTGCGGCCTCGTTACAAACGGTCGATGTGTACGATGTGCGAGAGAATGAATGGTTGATTGGTCCGGCTTTGCGAACTGGACGTGCCTGGCATGGAGTGACCCAATCGGAGCATACGCTTTTTGCTGTGGGCGGATCTGGTCGAGGAGGTAAGTCAATTGTTGTGATATTCGTGTCAAGAGCGATCGCCGTAAAATCAATGTGAACGTGAAGACGATTTATTGTCTGCAGTTCAGTGTTTTAGAGCTCAGTTGTGTGATTTTCCGTCGTTTCCGAATCGAATTTCCCAATTTGATATCTTGGATGCGATAACATTTATGCTTGTTAGTTTTCACGCCCCATACGTATATTTGTACACATAACACAACAATGGGCGTAGAAACGTATATTTTAAATATAAATAAAGAGAACAAGATTAAACAAGAAGAAGAACCAAAACAATAAGGTTTTTCCCGTTTTATCCTGCACTTTTCGATACATTTTTTAAACATTTTTTTGTGTTTTAGGGGGTAAAAGATTTTAACACACACACACACATCAGAACGCATTCGTATTACAGACTTCCGTTCTAATCCATATCTCTCATCTTCTTCGGTCAAAAACAACTCACACCCCTTGGGTCACAAACTAGAAGGTGCGCTGCATCAACCGAAGCCACTGGTGAAACCGGATTCTTCATACCGATACAGTAGGACATGCTGGGATCAATTCCAACCCTGTCTAGTGCGTGCACAAAGAGAGAACGGAAAGGAAGGCGATGGACAAGGATACAGAAAAACACATACTTGATTCATCGGAGGCAAAGTATGCAGAGTGATTTGTGCTTTTAAGACAGCGAACCTCGTCGCTACTTAATTGATATTGGCATCATATACTAGCCATGCTTCTGGAACTTCGGTGATCGAATACAGAAGTTCGATTGGGATCCACGGCACGCAGGGCCAGATCTTGCAACCGCAGAGATGTATACCGTTCCCTTAAGAGTGCCGAATTGACAGGAACCAAAGTTTAGCATACAGGCTTGTTTTCTGTTACTGATTAAGCGGCTAATATGCCAAATTTTATGTGGCATCATTTTGTGCGTGGGAAGAAAGAAAAAATGTTTCCAATCGAGTCATAACCCCAGAGACTAGTGCAGAGATGAGCGAGGTCTGTGGCGCGCAACAACCTCGCAAAGATGGGCTGTGCTATATCGTGCGTATGAAAAATGGGAAACTGTCTCGATGGCCGGGTGGGTAACATGTATGTGTTCTGCCTGTGGGGTCCCGGTTTCGATCCCCTGATGGGTCGACGGTTTCTTACTACTGATGAGACCCAATCAGGGTGAAACGGCTTCCCAGCTTTTCAGTTTACGCTTTATTTGCTACAGAAGCGACAAATTCACCTTTGAAATTAAATGACCAGTTAAACGAGATCATCATCCGGCCTGGTTGCACACTATTGCAATCAAAACTGTTATCAGTGACATCATCTCACATCTGATCGAATCCGATCACACAGTGAGCGTGAATGAAGCATTTCGAGTTCTCTATCACTTGTCCTAACCACCGCGGAGGTAGTTGAACTTCGTCTATCACCCAGAAACATTTTATGAAATCACAGCCTCCCCTGGGTCTCTGTTTTCCTCCCCTTCTCTCTACCTCAAAATGGCATGAGTAACATCAACAAAACCTAAAAAATCGGATAGCTAGATAAGTCAAATCCGGTTTGTAAAACTTAGAAAGACAACCAAAAAGATCCCAATTTTTCTCTGTTAATTTGTTAATTCCTTTTGTTTTACAAAAATGATATATTAGCCAGTCACAGAATGTCGAATATTGCAGCGACATCACAAGTGTCGCCGGTTGTCAAAACTTGTCCTAACTTTTACTTTTCGTGATTTGATCCCTACTTAAACTTCGTATTCAGTTGTGATGAAGCTCTTCCAGCTGATCATCGCAAAGGTCGAGTGCAGGCAAAAACTCCTAACTGTCTTGAACAAGCACATTGCACTTGATAAAGCAGAGCACACACACCATAGCTGGATGTCTCGATCGCCAAGCGGTCTAAAGCGTGTTGGACTACCTGTGTTCATTGTCAACCTGCATGACGATTTCTTCGGTATGTTCGAAGTCAAGAATTCTGTTTCCTGAGAGGAGTTCCATTGTTTGCTGGACAAAACAACAATCTGTATAACATCCTCCGAAAGCCTCAGTATGTTCGGGGGTGTCTAGCTTTACGGCTGGTCACCCTTCCCTTGAACCTCATTAAATGCTCCTATACGATCAAGCTTCTCAAACAGCCTCTGCTGAGGAAGCCCTGCTCACCGCCTCCCCGTGGCAGGGGTGTTTTCCCACCAAAGTGAAGGGACCGAAAGCCGACATCCGGGGCTATAACCGGATTGGTGGACCGCTGGTAGTGCGCCTAGGGGAGTTGAACAAAAACCCTGATTCCAAACCAACTTAGAAGAGACGTAAAAGTCACACTCACCTATACCCTCCTCGGTGTGGTAGTGATCATCGGCTTGATTGGGCATCAAGATGTGTTGCGAACCTCGGTTGTTTGACCCCGTCCAAAGGGCGTATGAGCCGATGAATTGGACACCAGCCCCCAATGGATTTCGGTTTTCACACCGCCCCCCTGCCTTGCGGATCAGACTTTGGCTAGCCAAAGGCTCCGGTTTTGGATTCCTCAAGAAAATTCACCTACCTTGTCCTGGGCTCATATGCAAATCATGGAATGTTTTTATTTTTTACAAAGATTATTGTACCATGATTTGTTTGGTACACAGTCTGGCTTCAGACGTTTGTGAGAAATGTGTATACATATAACATCCATGGAAGACATGATAGGGAATGCAGATAAAAGGCAGCATTTTAGCATTCTACTGGAGACAGCAAACGGTTGTGATAGCTAGCCTAACTCGACTTGAGTGACGAGTATAAAGCTCTTTCAGGATAGAAACACGTATTTCTCGTATTTCTTCTCCGGTGCGGTCCCATGGATGAAATCGAAGGCGGCACAGATATCTAAGGGGCACAATGATCTATGCTTTTTCTTGGAGTGCCAAATAATCTTCTGGATGTGTTACAGTTCTCCTCAAATATTGGTGTATTTGGCTCAAGGACATGTGGTAGGTCGGTTATAAATGCAAGAAAAAGATGAATTTTCAGTAGGGATTTTTGCGGGAACCCTCAGACAGCGACGATTGGTTCAGAAAATAAATCACAAATCATATGAACTGATATGGTTCTTTGTCGGAGAAAATCCTTAATCCAGTCGAGAACCTAACCTCTTACACCATAATTGTAGAGTTTTCGCAGGACAATTTGGTGATTTACTCGATCCAATGCGTTGGAGAAGTTCAAATAAACTATGTCCAATTGCTGGTCTGTATCGAGTAATTTTGTCCACTTATCTTGGGCAAGAAATAGATTTGCGGCTCACGAACGTTTGTACCGAAATATGTGTTGAGCAGGAGACAAAATCTCATACTTTTCCAGGTGTTACAATAACAGATCTGCCAAAATATTCTCCATGAATTTCGACAGTATCGGAGGAAGCGCAACACGGCAGGATTTGGCGGAATAAATGCGGTAAATCCTTTTGTAAATGGGTGAAATTATCCCTTCCTTATATGCCTGCGGAATTACCGCCTTGTCGAAGTTCTTTTGATAAGGGGGCTCTGATGTGGCATTGGCGAAGGAGATGAATGTCAGTGGAGGCATTTTGCCTGCAATTGGGGATGAATTCTTACAAAATGTTAGTAGTTTTGTTCTAACCATTTCACCGTCAGAAGTCGTATCAACCAGTGACGGATATGGCATCCGGGGTAGCATGCTTAGACTCTGTAATGCTTTATATGTCGTTGCACGAAACACCCGATGAAACTGGATTTTGAAGAACTCTGCTGCTTCTCGTGTAGCATTTGAAACATGTGAATAACTATAAAACGGGCTTGTTCCGTTTGCGATGCACGATGTGTAGGACTGTTCAGACAAATGAAAGAAGCAACTGGAGCAGGTGTGCCAACTGCAGGATCAAGTTTTCCCGTCCTACCTCGACCACAATTGTTTTCTTTTTCATTCGAGAATGAACCCAAGGGAACACTAGAAGGTGAACAATTGTTTTCAAATAATCGATAATCATGCCTGTACAGATCACATCAGGGTTTAGACGATCATGTTCGGATTCTAAGCAACCGTCAACTTAAGAGCGTCAAATACATAAAAAATTACTCCGGCAGGGCAATATACAAACTTTTACAGCCTCGTTCCGCTCAGAGAGTAAAGAAGTCTGATTCAGAGTCTCACACCACAAGCGAGCAGGATTTGCTCTGACAGTAGGTGTTAGATGAAGAACTAACAAAAACTAAGAACGCTCTCATAGAAAACGGTTATACTGAACAGTTCATCCAGAGGAACTTCGAGGAAAGGCCACTATTCGAA